TCTTTGTATGCATATATATATATATATATATATATATATATATATATATATATACTAAAATGTGTCACTTGCAAAAGATCTAAGAAATGTGATAAAAGAAACAATGAAAAATGACTTCATTTGCAAAAATATTATATACAATGATGATAGAAATGTGACTCATTAGCTGGCTAATAGTGCTTTTATTTTTGGAAATAAAAACAGAATTACCTTTGGAGCCAATATGCATCACTGTAATGGGGGAAACAGTTACATGCCTGTGTAACTTCTGCAAAATGGAGGCATCACCGTGCTCACTTTTATTTACTTTCTATTGTTTGATTTTATTTGCTGTGAATATATGATATAATTGCGCTCCTGTATAAAAATAAAAGTACCTTTAAAGATGAACACGTGAGATGCCCATTCTTAGTAGTTTAGGGTAAAAAATTAATAATGATGATCAGCATTTTAGTGTAGAAGACAGTTCTGAGAATAAAAAATAAGTGATGGGAGGAGAGAAAGACAGAATTCTGCAACAGCTGTAGTACGGGCAAAAGCTCCCAACATGGAGCTTACTGACCTGGGGCTAAGATCACGTGACACCTTAACTATTTAGGTTTCATATAATCCAAGTTTGTATTCTAGCATTCTAGACAGTCACCCTTCCTCTTCCTCTTCCTCTTTCTCTTCTCTCTCATTGCCCCACCTCTCTTTCTCTGAACTCAATTTCTATTTCTCTGGTAGTTGAGTTGTGTTGAATAGTTTTGCTTTAAACATAAAAAACTTTGACTTCCGTTTTGTCCCAAGGGTTGAGTCCTGTAATATTTGGCGGTCTGTAGTATCAAGTTTTCAGAAGTCATCCTGTGGTTGTAGACCCTTCGTAACATCTACTTTTCTTGTATTCTGAGAAAAAGAAACAGCAGAATTGTAACTGTAGAGTTGGTGGGTGCTGTGGGAAGATTTTCTGTACGCTGTGAATATGTGTTGGTCTGACTGGTTGATAAATAAAGCCACTTGGCCTTTGGCAAGTCAGGCTATAGCTAGGCAGGACATTGAAGAGAGAAAGAGAAAGAAGAAAGGCAGAAGGGAGAGAGACACCAGCACCGCCAGGAGAAGCAAGATGTGAAAATAATGGTAAACCACGGCCACATGGCAACTTACAGATTAATAGAAATGGGCCAAGTTATAAGAGCTAGCTAGCAAGAAGTATGCCATAGGCCATGCAATTGGTAATTAATATTAAGCTTCTGAGTGATTATTTTATATCTGGCTGAGGGACCCTGCAGCCGGGTGGTACTGGTGAAACCTTCCGGCTACAGGTGGGTGTTCTAGTTTGCTTTTCTGTGGCTGTGATAAAATATTATGACTAACAGCAAACTGGCATAGAAAGGATTTATTTCAGTTCACATTTCTAGTTCATAATCTGCCACTGAGAGTCATCATGACAGAGCCTCGAGGCGGGAACTTGGAGCAGAAACCATTAGGGAGAATACTAACTGGCTCTCTCTCTCTCTGACTAGTGCTCAGGTAGCTTCTTTTGTTTCATACAGCCCAGGACTACCAGCCCAGGAATGGTGCCTCTCATAGTAGACTGGGCCCTCCTACACCAATCAAGAGCCTCACAGAAATTCCCACAGACTAACCTGATCTGACCAATACCCCACCTGAGGTTCCTTCTTCCAAAGCTACTCTAATTTATGTCATGTTGACAAAAGCCAATAGCACATCAGACCTGAGCTATCTCTAAGATCACATATTGTGGGAGCATAACACTGACTAAATGAAGCTTACTACCTTCACCTGCAAAATGAGGACCTGCTGCAAATTAATTACTCACATCTATCATACATACATCAGGGTCACAAGTCCATGCAAACATTCATCAATGTTCTCTCCCTCCACATCCCTCACTTTGGTGAAGGTGTTCCTTCACTGTCACACTTGGAAAGCCCTAATCTAGCTTGAAGGAACGTTGCCTGAAATAACAGCGAATTTGCTCTGAATGAATTCCTGAGAGTCAGGCCAACAGATTTATGTTTGTCTCTTTTGGCTGCCTCCTCTTAGGAGTTTGGCTATAATCCAAAGGACTGAGATTATTTGAGTTGAGTGAGCCGCCATCACAGTCCTGCAAATGCTACCATCCAGGATTGTTTGTGTTCTTAAATTAAGACAAATACCCTGAGTGCTAAATGGAAAACTTGAATTTCTCTAGTCATATGAGCCATTAGAACACGCTGCAGTGATTACTTAGACCACACAATTCACCAGGTTATCTACTGTACTATATATTTACAATTACATTGTATATCCATAATTCAAAGTAACTTTATATATAAGTTACTAAATGTGTTTCAGATGATACCATTTTAATAGTTCTCTGTATTTTTGTGGATTATGAAAATAAATTACAAATTATATCATTGCTCCTGAGTCTTATGTCTTAAGTAAATTTAAGAAATTCTTAGAAAATAGAATCAGCACACAAATCAGTTCTAAAAACTGTTGAGATTGCTTTAAGGAATATGTTTATTTTAGGGAAGTTCTACCTTCCATAAGCATGTTGGGTAATTTCCTTGTTGCCATGATAAAAATTCCCTGACAAAAATCTGTGTATGGAAATACTGATTTTTGCCTCACTGTTCCAGGGTACAGTCCATCATGACAAGTATATAATGGGGGCATCTGGTCACACTACAGCTACATTTAAGAAGTAGAGGGAGACCATGCTTGGTCTCAGCTGTCTTTCTCATTGTTCTGCAGTCTGAGAACCAAACTCATGGAATGGTCTTACATTTAGGATGGGCTTTCCCAACTTGATCAACCTAATGAAGAAAATAAGTCACAGGCATCTTCAGAGGAGATTCTAGTTCTTGTCACATCGACAATTATTATTTCAAGTAATAATAACAATAACAGAAGTAATTTTTATGTCTTGCTTTGCAACCATGATACCTGTTTTACAACAGGCTCCCAAACCATGGAATCACTGAGCCATCTCTGAAACTGGAAGACAAAATAAATTTTCTTCCTTTCAAGTTGTTCATCTAAGACATTTTTGTGACAATGGAGGAAATGTAACTCACATAAATCATGAAGTCTAATGTTTTAACTACAGTTTGATACTTTTAGGTATACAGTACTTATGCCTGGTTATAGCGACATACAAATAATGATAATAAAATCTTAGACAATATCTTTTAAGACTTTGGTTTGACTGTAGCATAAAATACATCTTGAGTTCTAGGCCAGCCTAACCTATACCATATGTCTTAGACTGAAGGACAGATAATAAATAAAACCAAAAATACCATCATAAAATATGAGTATCTCCCAAATTTTATAGTCCTAGTTTGTTTTTGGTTGCCATGATAAAGCACCATGACCAAAAGTAACTTGGTGGGAAAGAGTTTATAGTTTCTTACAGGTTAAAATGCATTATCCAGGAAAGCCAGGGCAGGAGCTCATGGTAGGAACTTGTATACAGATGTTGCACTACCCATAAGAGACTAGGCCCTCTGATATTAATATACAATCAAGAAAGAGCCCCACAGACATAGGCCCAGGCCAGTCTGGTGGAGGAATTCCCTTAGTTTGTATCACATTGACAAGTAACTGACCATCACACAGAACAAATAAATGTTACTGTTCTCATTCTAACAGTAAACAAACAAACAAAAAATCTTTTGACATATTTTTTAATTTTATCTTTTTTTTCTCATTATGGTTCCCTTCATATATGCTTAAAATTAAAAAAAAAGTTCTATGCATATTTAATTTACATTAAATCCTTTCAAATTTTTGTAACAATTGTCCATACTATTATCCTAAGATGAACAAAGACAACACCAATAGCCATGCTAACATGGAAGGAGAAATTCCCATGGGATCTCAACGCTAGATAAGGAACTACAGACAACACAGTAGTGCTAAGAGTGGGAGACTTTCCTCACAGTTGCTGTTTGTGTCTGTTATCTTTCTCATAATGATTTACTCAAATGAGTGACTGAGACATTTTCTTGATGTGCTCTTTCAAATGTATAGTTTTATAAAGATTGCATTGTTTAAGAAATATCTACTATTTCAGAAATACATTGAAAGGAAAAACCTGTCAAATAAGTATGCATGGAGGTTGTTTTTTTTGTGTGTGTCATTCCTGTATATTTTTTATTATGAAAATAAATAAGGATGATTTCAAACATGTTTTAAATTTACACAGTATTTTTAGGAAAAATAGCTAAAGAAATCCATTAGCAGTATATTCATGCATCTTGGTTTTTAAAGTTCTCAGCTGTTCCTACAAGGTGGTCCAGGAGCCAAGGTCACCTATGTGCAGGCTCTGCCTGCCCCAAGACCAGCCTCGGGTCCCTCGTAGTCACATCATCTCTGATGTAGACAGCAGCACAGGACGCCTGCACAGGCAGGAGGCTTGTACTTGTGCACACAGGAAGGAAAATAAACATCCCCTTCAGGCCACACCTACTGACCAGTGTTTCACTGACTCCTACTGAAAGCAAGCTGGAGCATTTTGGGCCAGACTGCAACAAATCAGACAAGAATGTTGTCAGACACCAGGCGGTGGTGGCACACGCCTTTAATCCCAGCACTCAGAGGCAGAGCCAGGTGGATCTCTGTGAGTTCAAGGCCACCCTGGGCTACCAAGTGAGTTCCAGGAAAGGCGCAAAGCTACACAGAGAAACCCTGTCTCA